TTTAAGGCAGGCTCTGCGCCCTGCTGTTGCAAAGCAGGCGGCCCATCCTTCCAGGAACGGCTCCCTCTGAGGGAGCTGGGTCGCGCTCTCACTCTTCACTTGATGATGTTGACCTAGACACGGTCCCATTCCAACATCCTTTAGACACATGGGCTGGACGGTACTGCACCAGGGCACAGCGTGAATTGGTGCCTTTGGAGAAGACATCTCCCTGATTGCATTTTCGCTCTGCCCCCGCAGAGTGTGGTGTAGATGAGGGATCATGCCCAGGCTGTTAGCAAAATCAGATTCGGAAAGTGTCTGAAGTCAGTGCAGTATTAGAGTGGTTTTGCCGGCAGGGTGGGGGTGGGTGGGAGGTGGAGACGCATTTGGACTCGGGTGATTGAGTAAGCAGTGCCTCACTTTGGATGTCCAGGGAAGTGAGAGCACAGAGGCTGTGGAGCTGGACTATAATCCCTGAGCATCCCAAATGTCTGTAGTTTTCTAAAACGCATCAAAGGTGAGTTACCACCCAGGGCCCCAAGGCCTTTCCGTTTTACGTCCTCAGACCCGAATTAGCTATCCAGCAGCTCCCGTCCAGCCCAGAAGCACAAGGCGAGGTCATGGGGAGTCACTCAGAGGGTGAGGTGGGCTCCACTCCTTTGTTGGGAGCCCACTTTGTGTCCCCTGCTGTCTGTTGACTGTGAGCAGAGGACCCACTTAAGGACAGTCAGTGTGCTCTTTGTCATCATAAAACAAACACAGGGGCTGGTTTCATTCATGTACCTTGGAATATGCAGAAATGTGCCTGGGTCCAAGAAATCGTGCCGTAAATTGAGCCAATTCAATTCTTACCAAACGGTCTTGAGTTTCGTTGACTGGGGTTTAGAAAGGAAAAAAAAAAAAAAGCAAGTGTTGCAGCTAAATAAAACTCGTGGTGGCGGGTGGATGGCAGAAGGCCACTGTTAAATGTCCTCAGGGATTCCTTTCTTAGGGCTTTTGATCACCAGACCTTTTATTTTTCAAAGGAAGAAAAAAAAAAAGAACAGCTGTTGGATGCTACGGGCAGTTTCTTCCTTATATAGTAGAAAACAGCTTGTCCAACGCTTGTGAAGGAACCCTGAAATCCTAGCTCATTCACAGGCTTTCTTGAGTACCGACTTGTGCCAAGCACCAGGGGAAAATGTGAATAAGATGGGGAGGGTCTATACCCCCATGCCCATGCCCGGCATACCGTGGGTGCTTGAGAAAGTTCGATGAATGAATGCAGTGCGATAACTTAGTTATTAGTCTGGCTGTCACATCACTTTAGTGACTCCTAGGACACTGGAATTCATTTTAGATCTTCTGTCCTAGAGGTGGCCAGCTAAGCCCAACTAGAAAGATGCGTGGTGGACTTGGCACCTGACCCTTGGCCCAGCATGGCAGCTGAGAGCACGGGCTGCCTATGTTGGAGTCCATGCTTCACCTCTTAGTCATGAGACCCGGGCAAGTTACCTACCCCTGCTGTGCCTCAGTATTCCTATCCATAAAGTGGGGACAGTGGTGGGGCACCTGGGTGGCTCAGTCGTTAAGCGTCTGCCTTTGGCTCAGGTCATGATCTCAGGGTCCTGGGATCGAGCCCCACATCGGACTCCCTGCTCAGCAGGGAGCCTGCTTCTCCGTCTCCACTCCCCATGCTTGTGTTCCCTCTCTCGCTGTGTCTCTCTCTGTCAAATAAATAAAATCTTAAAAAAAAAAAAAGTGGGGACAGTGATGGTATCCACCCCATACGGCTGCTGTGCAGATGGAATACGTGAGCTGCTGGGCGCACCGTGAGCACTCTCTAAACTGTACCCGCCATCTGTGTGTGTTAGTCACTCAACCTTCTCTGATGCCACTTTTCTGAAGACACACATGGGACCAACGTACTTAGTACTTACGTGCATAATTGCCAGCCCGTCCTTTGGCTCCCAGGCACGCAGTAGGTCCTCACTATCCTTGTTTGGATGTGAAGCATCTATAGCAGTCAGGTCTGAGTCTTCATGTGGTTACTTTCCACTCCCGTGGTCTTGACCTTGGTCCAGTCTCTGAAGTTAAGGGAGGCTCAGACCTATAAAATGCAGGTCCTTCCTTCACCGTGGGAAGGATTACACTTAACCAAGTGCCTGGCACACGATGAGCGCTCGATAAATAGTAAGATTGTTGTCATTCTCATCAACAGCACACAAGGCCCCTTTGGCTTTTGTGGCCTGGGGTGCTGAGGCTGGTTCACGTGGCGCCCAATGGAGTGCGCATGGCCAGGGCGGGAGGAGGCACGGAGGGCGGGCGGCCTTGGGAAAGGGCCCGCGTTGCAGGCCCCACACGGTCAAAGCATTTTAAAGGCCTTGTATTCGAAAAATAAACCAATTAAATAATACTGCCCCCCATAAAAGCTGACTTTTAATGGACTCCACGGTAGGGTTTTCACCGTGGCAGGTCCTGCAGCCACCGGCCCTGGTAGCCTGTCTGCCGCCACGGGCAGAGTTTAATCTTGCACGGCATGAGCATAATTTTACAAGTTTTATGGCTGTTTTTTCTCCTCCAAAGTGTTGCTATGTCATTGTGCACCAAGGGCAAGTGGCGTGCATTTAACAGTTTACCTCGTTTTTGGTGGAAATGAAAAATGAAGCAATAAATTAAAGAAAAACACAACGTGGATTTTTCCCCCTTCTTCTTGAGGCAGTCGTGGAGGAACAAAGAGGCAGTGTTCCCCCCCTCCCCGCACAGCCTAATCAAATTCGAACGGCTTTTATGGATGGCCATTTGCCTGCAGGTCACCTCCCCGGAGAGGGCCGTGGGGCACGCAGTGTGTGTTTGGGGCTTGTTCCGCTGACCCCAGGAATCCCGGGGACCGTTCTCCAGGGCGGGGGTCAGCAAATGACAGCCTGTGGGCCCGATCTGGCCCCGCGCCTGTTTCTGTGACACGGTTGGAAAAAAACCATCAAGACTATTTCCCGACACATGAAAATGACACGGAATTCACTTTCCGCGTCCATGAATGGAGCGGCGTTGGCAGGAGGCCATGCCCATTGGGTTCTGGATCATCCGTGGCTGCCAACTCGGTGCCCCAGACCCTGAGGGCACAGGGCCGAAGCGCTACCTGCCCTTCACAGCAAAAGCGCAATGACCCTGCTCTCCGAGGCAACGGAGAAGGGGACAGAAAACGCAGCTTCCAGCGTCCTGGAAGCGATGATTTACTCTGAGGGTTTCCACGTGGCTCCAAGGGACGGGTCAAAGAACTGCCTGAGAAAGGGTCAATTCACCTGGAGAACGTCCAGAAGGAATTGGCTCCTTGCGGAGATGGCTTTTCTCCTCACGTTTTGGACCTCTGGCTGGCTTCTAAGCGGAGGGAGGGGCCTGGGTGTGTCCCCCTTGGGCCCCCCCTCCCAGCCTTCTGTGGCTCTCGGGTCAGGGAAGCTTTTGAGGTCTGCTGACTTCCCATCAGCTCACTGGATGGCTCACGAGTAGAGAAGTTCTCACCTCCCCCCACCCCAGGGGTACGCGGGTTTTGGTCAGGAATCGTTCTGTGTAAATTCAGCATACGGTTTGATGCCCTTCAGAAATTTGTAAGAAACGCTTTCTGGCCAGCACCCCGGTTTAAGCATTCTGCAGATAGGAGTAACTCGTTGAATCCTCACAGCCAACCCTATCTTACAGCTGAAGAAACACAGGCACAGCAAGGTTAGGTGCCTTGCCAAAGATCACACAGCGGGAATGTGGTAGAGCCGGAATGCAAACCCAGGAAACATCATGGGTCCATTCTGCGGCTGCTACATAAAGGCGAATTCTTCAGGCTTGCGGATGGACCTGCTTTCCTTGTCCCGCCCATGCCCCTACCAAGTCATTCCACAAGAAAATCACCTCCTGTGGGAGAAGAAAACGCTTGTTTGCTCATTCATTCGCTCCTCCCTCCTCCACGCCGCCTGCCCTTCAAATAATTATCAACAGGTGACTATGTGTTAGGCTCTGGGAGGGACTGCCCAGAAGGAGGGTGTTTTGTGAACAAGAAGAATGAAAAAAAAGAAAAACTCTTTTCCACTTAAAAATAGTTCGAGGGGTGGTGGGGAGAGAGCCTGCCTGGCTCAGTTGGTGGAGCATGTGACTCTTGATCTTGGGGTTGTGAGTTTGAACCTCACGTTGGGTGTAGAGAGTACTTAAAAATAAAACCTTTAAAAAAGTAGTGCTGAGTGTCCCCAACGCCATTGGCTTTTGAGAAGTTCCCTTAATTCTCCCTCTTTTATTTTTAAAATTTTTTTATGTGGGCTCCGTGTCCAGCGTGGAGCCCAGTGTGGGGCTTGAACTCACGACCCTGAGATCAAGACCTGAGCTGAGATCAAAAGTCAGACGCTTAACCGACTGAGCCACTCAGGTGCCCCTTTCCCCTCTCTTATTACTTGGAAGTGCCACGTCTGTCTGCTTAGAACCATAGCCCTTGTCCTTTCTGCCTTGACCTGACATTTTCATTAAAAGTAACCTAATTTACAAGAGGCTTTGGGGTGACCTGGTGTCTGACTTAGCCAGTGGAAGAGCCCTCCGGGGGAGGCCCTGCATGGTGCTCAGGAGACCAGAACCAGGTGCTGGGGGATGGCAGGGAAGGCAGGAATAAGAGATTGTGATTGATCACTGAGGCCTCAAGGAGGCTGTAGGATTTGAAATACATCACCAAGCCTGGTGCTGGTAGAACTCACTCTCTCGGAAGAACCTTTACGCTGAGTTTTGTAAGTGGCTTCATTTCAGTGAGTTTTAGATGCCTGTCTTGTTTTCTTAAAAATTTGCTGGGAAGAATGTTTAAGATTATTTATGTCCTTTTGAGTGTGGAGATACCTGAATGCTGGAGAAGACGTGCCATTGGATAAAGGAACAGCAGCTTTGCTAGAAGTGGTTTTTATCTCCCTTCCTTTCCTGCTTCTTCCTCCCCCACCTACCTCTGTGCCTTTTTCTTTGTCGGACAACAAGCCTTTGTTGCTCATTTCTGATGAGCCTTCACTTTCTCTCCTCAGTCATGCGGAGGAACCCCTTCGGTGTGGACATCTGCTGCCGGAAGGGGTCTCGAAGCCCCCTGCAGGAACTCTACAGCCCAACCCAGGTAAGCCCTGGAAACTTCCTTGCTTTCTCGGCTTGGTCTCCGTGCATCAATTTTTGGGGGGAGGGGAGAATGAAAGACTCCAAAATCTGGTTCTTGGGGGATTTGAAACTTCCTTGCACTGCCTGGCATTTTACCTTCAGTGGTGGCTTTCTTGGTCACCCTTTCTCTGTGTAATGGCTCCGAAATTCTAGCGAGCAGGATTTAGAATTCGAGAAATGCTTTGGTGTAGTGCTGGACTAAGCTTTCTGACCTGCTCGGGTTTGAGATCCACATAGTCACAGGTGCCAGCAATGGGGCTCTGAAATTATAGAGCCGGCTGGGCAGTGTCCCCCTAAGCACCCCGAAAGAAGGTTCACTTGTGGGTGAACCGGCCACCCTGCTCCCACGTTGGTTCATTCAAGTCCAAGATGCCCCAAGGATTCCACCTCACTGTGCCCGTTACCAAGACTCAGTTCGTGGGCGGGGGCGGGGCGGTGCTTTTTGTTAAGTGACTGTCATGGTAAATTGAGCTCAATTATGAAGAGTTTCTCTTGGAGCGAAATAAGCTCCAAACAAGGAAATGTGTCCTTGTCGAAAGCTAGGAGCCAAGGGAAGAGGCCTGGTCACCATGGCGATGGCCTCAGTGGTGTGTGTGGGTCTTGATGTGGAGACTCTAAGGCTGGTTCTCCTGTGGGAACATTAATTAGCACTTGATGCCAGGAACTGGCAAGTGAGCAACTAGTGGCCCATTGTCTGACCTTTGAGTGCTGTTGAGAAAAGAAAAAAATGTATTTCTTTGGCCTTAGTCTCTGAGCTTTACTTTGTATCAAATTCTTAATTTAGTATTTCTGTGCACTAAGGTGCTTGGTAGAGGAAGGTGATGCATGGTAATGCTGCATTCCCTGAAGTCTCGCAAAGGGAACTTTCTGATCCCACAGATATTCCCTGTCTCTCACCTGCACTCCCTTCTGGAAAAATGGACTCCTGAGTTTGTGCATCATGGGTGGCCTAACCAGGTGAATTCACTCCCTTGTCAGCCCCAGTGCTTTGGCGTTCTAGTGTGGCGAGGCCTGATTAGCCAGGTAATTGCAAACTCACATTGCCTGAGGCTTCCTGTTGTGTTCCCTGGTGACTCAGCAGGGAATGTGATATTTGGGTTTTGTTTGGCGCCCAATTAATCTGATTATTATAGGCAAGTCTCCTAGCATGTTCGCATATCCGTCCTTAGGAAGAGGTAGAACTAGCCTCGACAAAGGATAGGGTTTCTGGTAAGCCATGTTGAGAACAGCACAGGCTACTGAGATGCAAGCCATTCCTATTTTTTTGTTGACATGCTCTGTTCTCAGATAATTTTCCCTTTCAAAATACAGCTGCTGAAACACTACTTTTTCCTGGGGAAATTCTGTGGGCAGCATACAGTGTCATGGGAGGAGCTTATTTCTGAAGTAGACACCCCTCTGGACAGGAAGTCCATGGACTGTGTCTGTGCTGCTTACTGTTGTATCCCCAACCCCTAACACAGGGCCTGGTCTATAGACGGTGCCCCCAAATATCTGTGATTGAAAGAATGAAAGTCTAGTTCACACCCCTACCTCACCTCCGACTGGTTGTGCAACTTGAATACGTGATGAGTCCGTGTCTCTGGAATGTTGGGAGGATAAAATCACTCTGATGTGTCAGGGACCATGTAAACATTTGTCATTATCATGGTCATGCGGGGGGTTTCCATACTGGAAGCCTTGACTTCCGAGTCAGATGTGGGTTCCAAGCCTGGTTTCTTCATTTCCAGGCTACGTGAGTGTGGGCAAGATACTTCACCCCTCTGAGACTGCCTTCCCTCATTTGTAACAGTACTTTGCTCGGTGCCTCCTGTGGAGTTTGTTCATTCCTGGATTCATTCACTCATTCACTCATCCATTTCTTCAGTATTACACATGCCAGGCGCTGGGCACCAGAGAGTGAGCTGGGCATGTGGGTTAGCCTTCCATGTCTGGTTCCTCTTGGTATCCCAGGGCTGACGTGAGCGAGTTGACTGGAAAGCTTGGTCCAACCTACGTGGGTAGAGGTCATCTCTTCCTTCTCGTGGTGTTTTGTTTTCTGGGTGAGAAGCTCATTTAGCAGCAGCCTAGGACCTGGGAGGGAAGATGGGGCTGGAGAGGCAGCTCTGGGAGCCATTTGTGAGGGTGTAGGTGGGTGAGTCACCTCCATCAAGAATGTCGTGGGCAAGCTGTCCGGCCCCCTTCTCTGGCAACCAGGAAAACGTCCCCGCAGGAAGATCTCCCTGTTTCCTCGGGATGTTGCCCGGGATGTTTTTTTCTTAGGCTGGTTTCCTTTACAAGCTGCAATTACGTTCCATTCCCACGCAAATATGGCCAGTGGTCCTTCTCAGAGACTGTCGTGGTGATCATTTGGCTGCTGTGGGCTGGGCGTTTAGAGGAGAGAAGGGAGCAAGCACCCCTGTTGAGTTAAGTTTTGTGTCCACAAGACATTTACAGACTTTGCACCCGATTGGGCATGGTCGTGGTTTGTCGTGTTTCCCTACCAGCCAAGGCTGTTGAAGCCGCTAAGCCTGGACTGATGTTATCACAGAGGCAGATGACAAACCCTGTAAATTGCTAGAAACCAAGCTGCTCCTAGAGATGCCATTTCCCCGTCTTATGCTGACTGCTTATTTGGGTTTGATATATGATGGTGAAAACACAAACTATTTATTGTAGATAAGAAACCAAGGTTAGAGCGAGAAGGCACCATCTTAGTTACCATGTGCTGGTGCTCTAGACCAGCTGTTATCTAGATGCTTCTAAACCCCTCATGGAATGCTTAGAAGAAGCCCCAAACCAGGTCTGCCACTCCCATTTCACAAATGGGAGAGCTGAGGCCAAGAAAGTTATACAGCTTGCCTAGGGCCACACAGCTAATAAGAAGCTGAGTAAGGATTCAAACCCAGGACAGACTACAAATCCATTTATCTCTATGCTATGCTCACTGTCACCAGCAAGTTCTCTTGGCATGAATTACCCTGTCTCCCCTCCAAAACAACAACAGAATCACACCCAGATTTTTATTGGGCAAAGGCTTAAAAGCTCCTTTGGGGAAAATTGGCTATAATCTGATTTTTGTATCCAAGGTTTTCTTATTTCAGGGCCTCACAAATCCCTTAACCACTACAACAACAATTGGTTAAAAAAAAGTTTATGGTTGATATTCTTAGAAAAACTGTACTCTGGTGTCTTATAATTTTCCCGGTTCTCTGCTGTCTCCCTGGCCCCAAAATAAAATGTAATTGCTGATCAGATCAGCTGGTGTCAAGTCACCGAAAGTTCAGGAGTTGCCAACTGCGTATTTGTGGCCCGAGCGCATCTGTGGGCCGCCCTGTTGCAGCTCAGACTCGCGGGGCAGAGCTCTGTCGTCAGCCATTAATAGGGCATAATTGCCCCCAGAGTGCCAGCAGGAGCGAGACAGCTTGTCCTTCGGCCTCGCCCACCTCCTGGTCCTCGCGTGGGTTCCCTGAAATCTTCACAGCATCACTCATGTGGTTCAGCCCTGCCCTGCCTGGTGCTTTCTTTAGCATTTCTCCTTGCTCTGTGATTACCACGTTCCGAGAAGATAGATGCACAGCCCAGGGGCTGACCAGGAAGTCATGAACACAGAGTCTGTCTAGAAGGCTTACAGGAGTGCACTAGGTCCAACTGTTGACGGGCATTCCTAAGGGTCTGGGAAGGCCAGTCTGTGTTTGAGGGATCTAATGGTATTCTGAGTGAACTGTTTTGAGGCCAAAAAAAAAAATGTGTTTTTTTTTTTGAGGGAAAAAATATCTGTTATTTGGCAGCCCCTTAACGGTCCAGTCTTCATATGCTACAGTAGATTTACCTCTCTGTAAGGTAGGCTCAAGGAGGAAGGATCAAAAGAGGGAGAAAGGAAGGAAAGTTACTCTTCACTGGAAGTGTAATCTACTTTCACTCTACTAGACCACACTGTTCAAGGCTTTTCTACACGTATCTCATTGAATCTTCACAACAACCCCAAAAGGAAGGTTGAACCCCATTCTTCAGATACGTTAATGGAGGTTCAGTTAACTGAGCAGTTTGCCAAGATCACATAGCTCTCTGAAATGGTAGCGCCAGGCCCATCTGACCTGGTAAGACTGTAGGAGGATGAGAGCCTATCACTTCGTCTTTTCCAGGTGGAAAAAAAATGCTTCCTTGAGGTTCTCTTCCCTAGTGACTCAAGCTGAGACGGATGTGCTGAGGACTGTTATAAAATTCCCAAAGTCAGGGGCCAAGGCTTGTGGAGTGATGTGGAATGCACAGTGGATGTCCAATAAACACCTGAAGTTTTGTTTTCTGCTTCCTGAACCTGATATTTGGAGAGACTTTTGTCTCTTGGCTATGGCCAGGCTGAGCAGGAATCACCCTGAAGAACTCTGCTGTGGGATAGCTTACTTTGGTGAAATTGGGAAGTCGGGGTCTTTGATTAAGTTTAGATTGACAAAAGCTTGAATTGTCCAAAGGGGTTGGGGTGGGGGCTCTTCTAGCACAACCTAAATAGCTTTCTTAGCAATGCTTGCCGAACTTTGTTTCTTCTGCACACATTTATAGGCTAAGCAGAGGGAAAAGATGTGGGGAGGAGAGGCACGTAGGTCGTAGGACATGATAAATGGTGCACAATAGAAGCCTTTCAGTTATGGGAGAATCAGGAGTAAGTAATCAGCCCTTTAAGGTACAGGGCGAGTGGGAGGCTTTGTAGAGGGGGTGGCATTTGAGTTAGGCCTTTGAAGACCCATCAGGCTTCCCCTGACAGAGAAGAGGGAACAGCATCAGGGAAGGGAGGAATAGCAGGAGTGTGGGCACCAGGTGGGATAGTCCATGGCACAGTCAGAGAATGGTGAGGGCTTTGTGGCCGGAGTGAGGAGCCTGCAGGGAGCTGGTTGGAGAGAAGGCAGGAAGGGCAGGGTGGTGCCTGCTGGACCAGGCTCATCCACCCTTGCGGAGGGTGTAGTCTTTACTCGCAGGTGGGATCGG